TTCTCTGCCGGTCCAGGATATGCTGCACCAGCTCCTCAATGCTGAAGTCTCCAGAACCCATGGAGCACTTGATGCTGTGGACTGAGAAACACGCAGCGTTAACTCCAGCCAGAACCAGAACCTGGGTCGGACCGGCTGGCTGCTCGGTGCCGTACACATGGGCTTCATCTGGCCAAGCAGGTCGTCCCGGCTCCATCTCAAGGCGTCGTGGCGGTCCGACACCGTGCACAGCAAAGGACTGCATCTCCCAGAATCCTCTGTTGACGGCACGTTCAGGTAGTGGACCAGGACGATGTCTGGATTCTGGCAGGGAACACACGAGGTTACAGCTCTGATGATTAAAGGTCTGTGTTTCGACAGGCTGCTCGGTTCTGTTCCAGTCCACAGAGCGGGTCGGAATACACCTCAAACAGTATTACAATCAAGACAACGTTACATTGGACCCAAAGGTCGCCCTGCCAGTAGGTCGACTGCCTCAGGAGGTCACCCTGCCAGGAGGTCGACCCTCAGGAGGTTGACCGCCTCAGGAGGTCCACCGCCTCAGGAGGTCACCCTGCCAGGAGGTCACCCTGCCAGGAGGTCACCCTGCCAGGAGGTCGACCCTCAGGAGGTCGACTCCCTCAGAGTTTGACCCTGAGACGGCCTGAGCCGGTACTGAGTGTGTTTCTGACCTGCAGCAGCAGCCAGTAGCACCGTCTGTGGAATGTTGGCACGATGGAGGAATGGACGTAGCAGCCGTAGAGGCACTGGAACAGCAGAGAAACACCGGTTGACCTCCACCACCCAGTCTGAACCCTTCTATTCCTGTGTGTGACTCAACATGACCTGCAGGGTCGCTGCCCACCTCCATGCCCTGCACCTTCAGCTTCATGTGGTCCTCTCTTGTCGTCTTCCCGTCCTTCCTTTTCTTCCAGCAGTAGCCATCCTTCCTGTACTTCACCTTCTTCCTGTTGTAGAGGATGATGCTGCCGTTCTTCGGCCTGAAACAGCCAAACACGCCAGGTGAGACCGTGACGCCCCGAGCGCCTTCTAGCAGCCGTTTGTTCTGGACCGTACCTGGTCTTCAGGGAGCAGCAGAGCCACTCGTCGTGTCGGTCGAAGGATATCAGGTAGGAGGCGATCTCCTGCAGACCAACACGGAGACGGTTCTTTAAACAAACCTGCTGCAGATCCAGGCTCATCGAGAAAAAAGGAATTTATTTAAAGGCAGATAAATGGAAACACACGTGATGTTAGATTTCTCCTTTCCTGTTTCCAACCTGATCGATAAAGAGACCCAAAACGGATCCGAACATCCGGTCAGAACCTGCTCCGCTCACCTCGTTAGTGTTCCACCTCAGACGCTCGTTAGGCAGGCAGGCCGATCGGGGCAGACACTCCAGCAGCTTGTTGGGAACAAACACCTTCCTCTGGCCTTTACTCTCTGCTGACAACACAGACGATGACGGGTCAGAACAGAACCCGGGTCGGAACAGAAACCAGGTCGGAACAGAACCTGAGTCGGAACAGAACCCGGGTGAAAACAGTACCCGGGTGAGAACAGAACCCGGGTCGGAACAGAACCCGGATCAGAACAGAACCCGGGTCGGAACAGAACCCAGGTCGGAACAGAACCCGGGTGAGAACAGAACCATCCCTCACTGACACAGGAAGTTCAACATAAAATCCTGCAGGTGTTTACCTGCAATTATTAGAAAATTATTGTTAATGTGATGTTTTTGTCAATCAGGGTCAATCAGGGTCAATCAGGGTCAATCAGGGTCACGGCTTCACGGCTAGTTATTACTTAACATCCATCCATCATAGAGGACTGGAGATAAGAACCACCTTCAGTCTGCCTCTATGCTGATCATCAGCATCTCTTCTGACATCATCAGCATCTCTGACATCATCAGCATCTCCTCTGACATCATCAGCATCTCTGACATCATCAGCATCTCCTCTGACATCATCAGCATCTCCTCTGACATCATCAGCATCTCCTCTGACATCATCAGCATCTCCTCTGACATCATCAGCATCTCCTCTGACATCATCAGCATCTCCTCTGACATCACCTCGGGTGTAAGAGTTGTGGGACCCGCCGGGCCTTGTGGACAGAACTGACTGAGCCCCGGTTCATCGGGTCGGAGACGGGCCGGGCAGAACCTCCGGCCCGTCTCCGACCCAAAGCGCAGAAACGGTGACGCCTGTCGAAAACACGCAGTTTCCACGGCAACATGTAGGTAACAGCAGCCTGGTCCTTACCTGCAGGTGGATGCTGACCTGTCTCCGTGGAAACCATCTCCTTGTTGCTCATGGCGACGGGTCTCACAGGATGGACGTCTGCTTGGCGAGTCCCGCTGAGGACAGAGACGATCAGTAACAATCAACACACACTGAGACACACACACACACACTGAGACACACACACACATACACACACTGAGACACACACACACACACACACACACTGAGACACACACACACACACACTGAGACACACACTGAGACACACACACACACACTGACACACACACACACACACACTTCCTGCAGTGGAGCCCAGTTGCCTAGCAACAGCAAAATTTGGATCCACTTTACATGAAGAGTTTGAATCTCGCTGAACATCGCCTGTGTGTGTGTCTCAGTGTTTGTGTGTGTGTGTCTCAGTGCGTGTGTGTGTGTGTCAGTGTGTGTGAGTGTCTCAGTGTGTGTGTGTGTCAGTGTGTGTGTGTGTGTCTCTGTGTGTGTGTGTGTTCAGACTTATATAACATGTTGAAACAGTGAACACACACATCATCGCATCACACCTGGATCGGAACCGGTTCGAAACGTGTTTATATTAACACACATGAATGTTGAGAGCGAGTTATCAAATGACACTTTTAATGATTATATAACAATAGTGATTAAATGAGCCTAATCGGTCCATTCTCCCACACGGAACCAGAACCTCCTCCCGGAGGCCGCTGGAAAGCCACGGCCTCCTAGCTGCGGTTGCCGACTGTCGGCGCTTCTCCCCGGCTGTGGGAGTTCTGCTGCTCCGGTTCTGACCGGAGCTAAAGGCGGGAAGTCGCCCAGCTTACAGGCTGGACGAAGCAGTGCCAGCCATGAACCCCGACCAGAACCGAACCCTGCCGCTGTCGGGCTGCAGGCAGCAGGACGATACCGGAGATATTCTGGAGTCCAACAGCGGTGGAGCAACACCTGTAGCAGCCGAGCTGCAGGGCTGGAGCTCCGGCTGAGACCGCGGCTCCGCCCGCAGCTCCGCCCTCCCGCTGCGGACACACCGGAACAAACCGGCAGGAACCGAACCTACAGAACCGAGTCCGGACCAGCTCACACATAAAACGCCTGTTAAAGCTGATTTACCTTCCGCCTTCAGCTCAGCCGCCATGTTCTGTCTTTGACGTCAGTGCGTAACAACGGAGCAGGGCGGGGCTACGGTGGATCTGATCCGGAGGAAGGTTTATGGGAGACTTTTACTGCCATAATTCCAGAGCACACATTTTGAGTTTGAAAGCAGGACTTCTTGTCTCTGTTCTCAAACTTGTGATGTATTTAAATCTGGTCATTTTCCATGATCTGATTTAAATAAGATTAAAGATTTTTGTGATAAACCATGAAGTTTTAGAATCTTTCAACAGAACGGTCAAACTGGACCATTTAAAGTCAGTTTTTCACCTTTTATGTCCCAGGTTTTTCACAGTCCAGCCTCAGGATGCTAACAGAGCTAGCATCTCCTTCACCCTGATCCCAACCGGAACCCGCCATCAGACCGGTCTGAACTGCAACTGCTGATCGAAGCAGCATAATGAATGAAAGATGAGACGTATAGAGAAAAATATCTGAAGTTTTATTTTGTAAAAAAGTGGAGAAATCCTCCAGCAGGGGAGACATAAACAGCTGCAGCAGGAGCTTGTAGTCATCAGTTTTACAGTAAAATTCACTTCCTCCAGATCAGAGAAGGAGGCGGAGCTAAAGATGCTGTTTCCATTGCATTAAAGAGAAATCCTGCTTATAGCCAGGGAAACCAACTCACCCTGCAATCAGCTTGTGTTATGGCTGAGTCACATTATACCAGCATATAGAGCGTTCTGTGGTTTTATTGTGAAATACAGAGGAAGTGTTAATAGTCACAGCTTAGAGAGCGGTAAACAATTGGCCCTGTTTTTCAAATCTTCTGCTGAAACATCAGCGTTATGGCTTTCAGGGATGGGTCGACTGCAGACTCTTCATAAATATCTTTAAATAATTATTACTGACGGTGACTCTGAACTCTGAGGGACCAATCAAAGCTTCACCGTGTTCAGAAAAACAGAATCCTTTAAATCAGTAGCAGGCAGCTGGACAGGAAGGAAACAGTTAAGACTTCATCAGATACCAGTAACTCCATCTGTTCATCACCAGCAGCAGTGCAGAAAATGATAATAATAATAATAAAAAACAATATTCTGTAGTAACAGAAGGAAGAGAAATTAGCTAACTCCACAGGAACATGTGTGTGTGTGAGTGTGTATTCTGGTCTTTCTGCCTTCGTAGGGACTTGGGCTCTAACTCAGCAACATGAGGACAATCAGGGATACGAGGACATCAGCAGGACAGCTGTGGACACAAGTCCTAACACTGAGGACATGTCTCTACAACTGGATTGCTTCTTCACTGTGAGGACAAGTCTCAGATCAGGGGAAACGTCTGGAGACACGTCACCATCTGGGCCACAGCTTCACGGTGGGACTCGTCTTCACGGTGGGACACGTCTTCGGTGGGACTCGTCTTCACGGTGGGGACTCGTCTTCACGGTGGGACTCGTCTTCACGGTGACCCAGTGTCCAGATCAGACTTCAGAGTTCAGGTTTATGGGGACCAATAACTTAATCCCCACAAAGCCAGAAGCACCTGTGTGTGTGTGTGTGTGTGTGTGGTGTGTGTGTGTGTGTGTGTGTGTGTGTGTGTGTGTGTGTGTAGGACGGGGGTGATGAAGGGCTTGGCTCTGGGGTCAGAGGTCATCACATGCCCTGTCGGATGCTCTGGATGATCTGGAAGATGGCTGAAAGACACAGAGAGTTGGATGTTAGCAGGAGGAGAGCAAAAAGCAGGAAGTCTGACCCTGTTGAAGGTTCTGGTCCAGATACCGGAGGTTCTGGTCCAGGTACCGGAGGTTCTGGTCCAGGTACCGGAGGTTCTGGTCCAGGTACCGGAGGTTCTGGTCCAGGTACCGGAGGTTCTGGTCCAGATACCGGAGGTTCTGGTCCAGATACCGGAGGTTCTGGTCCAGATACCGGAGGTTCTGGTCCAGATACCGGAGGTTCTGGTCCAGATACTGGAGGCGGTGAGGAAGAGGAAGAGCAGCTTCCTGTTCTACTTCCTGTCTCAGTGTGAAGATAAGTGACTGTGAGATTTTGTTACTTCCTGTTTCTCCTCACTGCGGCGGTTTCTGCCTCCTGAGTGGAGATAACTAGTCGTAACCAGGGCAACGGGCCCAGTAGACCGAGGTTCTACTGGTCTAACTGGTCCTGGGAGTTCTGCAGAACTTTAAAGCATACAGAACCGAATCCAGAACCTGAGAGGGAAGCAGTGGGAGGTTTTGATGGTTTCTGCTGGATTCATGTAAATGCCAATAAACCAGCAGATCAATATGATCAATGGCTCCATGTTCTCCATCAGAGCCACAGATCCTCAGGTATCGGCTCACCTTGATGCCGATCAATATCTCAGGTGTATCAGTAGCATGTTAAGGTGATCAGGTGTTTATACCTGATCACCTTAACATAATCAAACCCTATAGAGTCATTTCATGGACCAGTTAATCTTTATGAGACAAAAACTGGGAAGCAGGATGATTTACATCGGAGCGGTTAGCTTTAGCGTTAGCTTCTTGACTGAGGATAAATGTGGTTCAGTTTCATCGTTTCAAAAATAAAGTATTAAAATCATGAAACTTGTCAGGTTTGATGCTCTGGTCTAAATAACTGAATGTTGTCATGTTTCAGTGGATGTTGGTGACTTTTGACTCTTTGATATTCTTCACAGATAAAGTTTGTTGCTGCTGCAACCAAAGTCTTTCTGTATTTACACAAACTTTGACGCAAACTTCATTTTTACATATGTATATTTTGCAGTTGGGTTTGGACCGACCACCAGAGGAGTAACACCAGAACCGGCCCATCCCGCCTGGTCCAAGCTCAGATTAAACAGAACCAGAACCGGCCAGCGTCTACAGGTCCGACAGACGGCCCAATCGGGTCAGGCGGAGCTTCTTGATTAGCAATGCTAGCATGCTAACCCACCTCATGGGGTCACCAAAGGTCACGGTTCTGCAGAGGAAACTCACCTGATCCACAAACCACAAAGACGAAGAGCGCCAGCAGCCAGGGACCCACTGGAGACTTTTCTCGTTCACCGGCCTCTGCAACGCAAAGCAGGCAGCATGAGAACCGCAGAGCCTCAACGCTCCACTTCCTGCTGAGGCCTGGTACTACCTGGTACCACCTGGTACCATCTGGGTCCACCTGGTACCACCTGGGTCCAGAACATGGCCTGAACCATTTCCAGAGGAGAACAATCTATAGTCAGTACATCCAGGCGGTTCCCAACTTGTTTCCAGGTGATGAACCCAACCCGGGCCCTGGGTTGGGTTCATCACTATTACCAATAATCACCAATACTATGGTTTATTTTCACGTCCTCCTGCAGCTTTAATGCTGCCATAAAACTCAGCAGCTTCACTTCCTGTCATCCAGAAACCAGCTGATGGAATCAAAAGCCTCAAGCGAAGCTAGCATCCTCCCCACAGCCCAGAGGGGAACTGCTGCTATTAATATTACAATGCTAATCATGCTAATATTAGCATCATGCTAATCCAAGCTAATCAGATTTAGTTTATTACCGGGACCAGAGCCTCAAACTGGACCATGATGAAGGTGAACCCGACCCGTCATCAGGAACATGGAGGCGGAGTGATGCTGTGGGCTCTCTCAGAACCATTTCTCCTGACCGGGTCCACTGGACCCAGAACATCTAATCCTCCTGACCGGTCCACTGGACCCAGAACATTTGAACCTCCTGACCTGGTCCACTGGACCCAGAACATTTGAACCTCCTGACCGGGTCCACTGGACCCAGAACATTTGAACCTCCTGACCGGGTCCACTGGACCCAGAACATTTGAACCTCCTGACCGGGTCCACTGGACCCAGAACATTTGAACCTCCTGACCGGGTCCACTGGACCCAGAACATTTGAACCTCCTGACCGGGTCCACTGGAGCCAGAACATCTGTACTTCCTGACCGGGAACATCAACAAACTTCCTGGGTATCCACCATGGAGGAGGCGGTGGCTCCATGGATCCAGTTTACAACCTGCTGCAGTTATCTAAAGTTTAAATTAGCTTCGATAGACAAAGAGCAGAACCCCGAACTGTAAGCCGAACCGAACCTGGGACCGGTCCACTGAGATTACCAGTTTAAATCCGTGTTTTCTACAGGTTTTGGTTCTGATTAAAGAGGAAAAGCATCTAAAGTCCTAAAGGTTGTGAGGAGTCTGGTCACTTCCTGCTGTCACCCCGCTGACTGCCGAGCGGAGCCACGCACCATATATGGACGTGTTTCCGCTCCATTCCCAGCCAGGTCCAGTATGATAGCAGTCATTACTCCTGGTCGGAACCCACCGAGGTTTTCTGGACGTGTCCCCGCTGTGTGATTGTCTTGCTGTGGCGCTCGTTGGCCACCTTCATCCGCTGAACCGCAGACATCTTCCCACCGTAACTACCGGAGCCTCGCAGGAGCGGGTCGGAACCGGGCCAGAACCGGGTCAGAGCCTGGTCAGAGAGAACAGCAGCGCAGGCTGGAGGCTGTGGGGCGGGACTGGTGAACGGCTCGGGTCTGGTCCGGTTCCCCTCCGTAGGTAACCTCCGAGGAATCGGCGCTAGCTGTTAGCTGGTGCTAACTGAACTCACAGGAACTGACCCGGTCACGTGACCCTGGTCGGCGCGCCGCAGGGTCTCTTCTGCCCCCTGGTGGCAGGAGAGGAACTGCGTCCATTTCACCGGAATGAAATAAACGCATGTCATTAAACCCTTCCAACATTTGGACCTAATATAGTCAACCCTGAGGGACAGAATGAATCTAAACTGAGCTCAAATCATTCTGGATCCTTCAGGCGGAACCAGGATCCACCTGAAACCACCCGGAACCATGAAGGCATCATGGTTCTGATTGTAGTTGGATCAGAACCTTTCCAGAGGTCTGGGTTAGAATCGCTTTTTCAGTAGGTGACCCAGAAACTGGTTCTGGTTCTGGACTGAATGAATCATGAAATTAATTCAGTGTTATTAATAACTAGTTATTTAGTGACTTTTCCAATAATTGGATTGATATAAAGTGTAACTATAATTTCTCCTTCCAGCGTCTCTGATATTTATAATTATTGTCATTTATGTCAGAGACTGATGATAAAAACTCTTATTAGTTTAATCATATGAGATCATTACTGTGAGATTAAACCAGTCAGTCTGGATTCACTTCCCACCAGAAATCATTTCTAGATCCGTTCATCTCATTTCCTCACAAACCAGAACCTGACAGCAGGTGGGACATGATGACCATCCTGGACATGCAGTGTGGTGGTGGCAGCATGATGCTGTGGGGCTGATTCAGTGCAGGAGGGACTGGTGTCAGAGAACAGAACCGAACAGAACCAAACAGAACAGAACAGAACTGAACAGATGGTATCATGAGGCAGAGATCAGGTTCAGTTTAATACTTCGTCACACACACACCTACACACACCTACACACACCTGCAGGTCACACACACGTCTCTGCTGGCTGCAGGCAGCCGGCGGGCCGACGATGCGTTAGCATCGTCCTGAGCTCAGCCAGCTCTGGTTAGTATCGTCCAGCATGAAATCTCCGCCTGGAGGTCAGAGGTCATGCAGGGTCGTCTTCAGCTGTGAGAAGCAGCGGCGTTTCCACGGTGACCGTCTCTAGCAGCCCAGGCCGCTGATGGAGCCGATGCGGTCCAGCTTCATCCCGAAGCATCCTCTTCCTCCCGCCGTGTGGCTCCGCCTCCTCGTCTTCGCCCGACGCCGCAGGAAGTCCAGGAAGAGGCGGGGAACCACTTCCTGTCTGCTGGCTGATCCGCTCACGTTACCGTGGCGACTCAGCAGCAGTGGCGAGGAGGCGGAGCCATCTGTGATGTCATCAGGTGAGGGCGTGGCCTCAATGAGGGAGGCGAGGCGAGAGCCGAACAGAGAGAGAAACACCTGGACACACAGGTAACGTCAGTCACATGACCTGACCGACCAATCGGCTGGCAGAGACAAGATGAAGGAGACAGGATGAAGGAGACAGGATGTAGGACACAGGATGTAGGAGACAGGATGTAGGACACAGGATGAAGGAGACAGGATGAAGGACACAGGATGTAGGAGACAGGATGAAGGAGACAGGATGTAGGAGACAGGATGAAAGACACAGGATGTAGGAGACAGGATGTAGACACAGGATGAAAGACACAGGATGTAGGAGACAGGATGAAGGAGACAGGATGAAGGACACAGGATGTAGGACACAGGATGAAAGACACAGGATGTAGGACACAGGATGAAGGACACAGGATGTAGGAGACAGGATGAAGGAGACAGGATGAAGGACACAGGATGAAAGACACAGGATGTAGGAGACAGGATGTAGGACACAGGATGTAGGAGACAGGATGTAGGACACAGGATGAAGGAGACAGGATGAAAGACACAGGATGTAGGAGACAGGATGAAGGACACAGGATGAAAGACACAGGATGTAGGAGACAGGATGAAGGAGACAGGATGAAGGACACAGGATGAAGGACACAGGATGTAGGACACAGGATGAAGACACAGGATGTAGGACACAGGATGAAGACACAGGATGTAGGAGACAGGATGAAGGAGACAGATGAAGGACACAGGATGAAAGACACAGGATGTAGGAGACAGGATGAAGGACACGGATGAAGGACACAGGACGGTAGGAGACAGATGAAGGAGACAGGATGAAGGAGACAGGATGAAGGAGACAGGATGAAGGAGACAGGAAGAAGGAGACAGGATGAAGGAGACAGGATGAAGGAGACAGGATGAAGGACACAGGATGAAGGAGACAGGATGAAAGACACAGGATTAGACACAGGATGAAGGAGACAGGATGAAGGAGACAGGATGAAGGAGACAGGATGAAGGAGACAGGATGAAGGACACAGATGAAGGAGACAGGATGAAAGACACAGGATGTAGGAGACAGGATGAAGGAGACAGGATGAAGGAGACAGGATGTAGGACACAGGATGTAGGAGACAGGATGAAGGAGACAGGATGAAGGACACAGGATGAAAGACACAGGATGTAGGAGACAGGATGAAGGACACAGGATGAAGGAGACAGGATGAAGGACACAGGATGAAAGACACAGGATGTAGGAGACAGGATGAAGGAGACAGGATGAAGGACACAGGATGTAGGAGACAGGATGAAGGACACAGGATGAAGGAGACAGGATGAAGGACACAGGATGAAAGACACAGGATGTAGGAGACAGGATGAAAGACACAGGATGTAGGACACAGGATGAAGGAGACAGGATGAAGGAGACAGGATGAAGGAGACAGGATGAAGGAGACAGGATGAAGGAGACAGGATGAAGGAGACAGGATGAAGGACACAGGATGAAGGAGACAGGATGAAAGACACAGGATGTAGGAGACAGGATGAAGGAGACAGGATGAAGGAGACAGGATGAAGGAGACAGGATGAAGGAGACAGGATGAAGGAGACAGGATGAAAGACACAGGATGTAGGAGACAGGATGAAGGAGACAGGATGAAGGACACAGGATGAAAGACACAGGATGTAGGAGACAGGATGAAGGACACAGGATGAAAGACACAGGATGTAGGAGACAGGATGAAGGAGACAGGATGAAGGACACAGGATGAAAGACACAGGATGTAGGAGACAGGATGAAGGACACAGGATGAAGGAGACAGGATGAAGGAGACAGGATGTAGGAAACAGGATGAAGGAGACAGGATGAAGGAGACAGGATGAAGGACACAGGATGTAGGAGACAGGATGAAAGACACAGGATTTAGGACACAGGATGAGAGACAGGATGAAGGACACAGGATGAAGGAGACAGGAGGAAGGAGACAGGATGAAGGAGACAGGATGAAAGACACAGGATGTAGGAGACAGGATGAAGGACACAGGATGTAGGAGACAGGATGAAGGAGACAGGATGTAGGACACAGGATGAAGGAGACAGGATGAAGGAGACAGGATGAAGGAGACAGGAGGAAGGAGACAGGATGAAGGAGACAGGATGAGGAGACAGGATTGAAAGACACAGGATGTAGGACACAGGATGAAGGAGACAGGATGAAGGAGACAGGAGGAAGAGACAGGATGAAGGAGACAGGATGAAGGACACAGGATGAAGGAGACAGGATGAAGGAGACAGGATGTAGGAGACAGGATGAAGGACACAGGATGTAGGACAGGATGTAGGAGACAGGATGTAGAAGACAGGATGTAGGACACAGGATGAAGGAGACAGGATGAAGGAGACAGGATGTAGGACACAGGATGAAGGAGACAGGATGTAGGAGACAGGATGTAGGACACAGGATGTAGGAGACAGGATGAAGGACACAGGATGTAGGAGACAGGATGTAGGAGACAGGATGAAGGAGACAGGATGAAGGAGACAGGATGTAGGAGACAGGATGAAGGACACAGGATGTAGGAGACAGGATGAAGGACACAGGATGTAGGACACAGGATGTAGGAGACAGGATGAAGGACACAGGATGTAGGAGACAGGATGAAGGAGACAGGATGTAGGAGACAGGATGAAGGAGACAGGATGAAGGACACAGGATGAAGGAGACAGGATGTAGGAGACAGGATGAAGGACACATGATGTAGGACACAGGATGAAGGAGACAGGATGTAGGACACAGGATGAAGGAGACAGAATGAAGGAGACAGGATGTAGGAGACAGGATGAAGGAGACAGGATGAAGGACACAGGATGTAGGAGACAGGATGTAGGAGACAGGATGTAGGAGACAGGATGTAGGAGACAGGATGAAGGAGACAGGATGAAGGACACAGGATGAAGGACACAGGATGAAGGAGACAGGATGAAGGAGACAGGATGTAGGACACAGGATGTAGGAGACAGGATGAAGGAGACAGGATGTAGGAGACAGGATGAAGGAGACAGGATGAAGGACACAGGATGAAGGACACAGGATGAAGGAGACAGGATGAAGGAGACAGGATGTAGGAGACAGGATGTAGGACTCACCTGCTGCTGCTGGTTCAGAGGTGAAGGCCCCGTTTCCACGGAAACCAGGAGCAGGAGGCCCACCAGAGCAGAGACGGCGGCCATCTTGGTTTACAGACAAAACTGAATTAAAACCTGAAAAATAAAATATTTTTCTGTTTGTTATCAAAAACAGAAACTGGATGAGTTTTTATTAGATTATTAAAGAAACTTTCTGAGTTATTTATTATGAATTTAAAATAAACATTTTAATTCGTCACAAACATTCAGCGAAACTGGAGATTAATATTAATAATTAATATTAATATAATATTAATACTGAGACAGAAAAACTCCACCAGTCTTTAAACATGGCTCCAGTTTCACTGACATCCTGAACAGGAAGTGATGCTCCTCTACTTCCTGTCAGCCTTCCAGATCAGGAAAACAATTCAGATTAATTATATTTTCAGTTTGAAATGAATCAATTAATATTTCCTGGAGAATCTTTTTTTTTTTTGTATATATATATTTATTCAGGATGCATATCCAACAAAATCCACATCTCATGTACAACATTTTTTCTTATCTTTTTCCCCCCTCTAAAGATAAAACCCACCACCTCCACCCCCCACTCTCTCCATGTAGCAACACATATAGCAG